CCCCCCCCCCCCCCCCCCCCCCCCAAGAGATTTCGTAAAAACAGCGGCGATTTTGCATTTCAATTGTCGTCGCGCCGCGCGCTTTTGACGATTTTTACGCGGACAGCTCTCGCACGATTAAAAGTGCACCTAATTTTACAAACTCGGCGGAGAATTTATTATGAAGTCACGGCAGCGTGGATTCCGCTTTTGTTGAACTTCAGTATTATTCCATGATTTCGGGAAACTAAACTGTCAAGCATGTTTCTTTAAAAAGATTGCAGGCCATATTTTAATCACCTATTTATTTGCGTAGTTCTCGCAATGTTCTACATTGTTTCCTAAAATATGAGAAATTTTCACAATTTCGACCAATTACGTGTCAGTTTTATAATCCAATAATTTCTAATGTAATAACCACACAATATTCTACCGCGACAAACAGTTTTAAATATTCATTAAGACTTTTATTTTTATTCACTTCTATTACTCCTGTAAATAAAAAAGTATTTCTAATGAGATAGAATAAAAATAAAACAATTATTTATTCACTGATTATATTTATATATTAACTTGATTTTTATCGCTATTTCTCGACGTCGTTTGAAAACATAATAAAAGAGACACATCGAAATGGAAGGATAAACATATCCTATACGAATTGTTGGTTAATAAACAATTTGTGTCAATACACTGCATCCGATCAATTTGTTCGAAGAAGATTGCAATATTACGTTCCGTAAAGTCCCCCTAGGCTGCAGTTTATCGTGTATACTCACCGGCTGCTACCAGCTGAAAAAGACACGGCCTCGATTGGGTACCGACGAGATTGTCTGCCCAGCACGAAAGGGTACCATAATCCAGCTCGGTGGACGGTGTGTATCTCAGCACGCTGACGCCGCTCGACTTCTCCATGGAGAACCTACCAGGTGCTACCTCCAGGGTCTCACCGCTGTTGTTGAATTTCCACCGGAAATTGTGCGCTGGTGGATCGGCCTCGACCCTACAGGCGATGTCGAGCGACTCGCCCCGTGATGCACCGACCACTATAATTCGGTCCTCCTTACACACCGGTGCAACTGGAAGCAGAATTATCGATTTATATGTCCCAGCGGGAGGAGCGAGACGATTTTCTTCTATGCTACAACACATTCCGGAGCGTACAACGTATCGCAATAGCGATTCTTTGATAATCATTGCACCGTACACACAAAAAATATATACTATGTGCAAGTAATAATTACTTGTTTCAATTACTTCAAAAGTTTATATATCCATCATGAGATCATCACTAGCATTTCTTCAAAATATATTCTGAATCTCTTAATAAATTTAATACTTTAATGGAAGATTATTAAATTAAAACAAATTCGATTTGCTTATTATGTAAAGTCGTTTCGTCGATCTATTTTATAATATTCATCTAAGAAGATAAATTCCTATTTTTATTACAGAATAATGGACTTTTCTGAAATTTATAATAAGTATTATATTTTAAGATTATCATCACAAAAATATTCTTTGTTAAAAATAACTTATTACTTAAAAAGAAGAAAGTAAATTGAATAAATCACTTTTCTTAGTAATAAAATATTTTTTTTTGTGTACATAAATTTTACCGAGAATTTTATAATGGGCGTTATAAAATCCGTGAAATAAATTTCACAACAATCCGTAAAGAATGGACTTCAAAGGATTATGAGCATAAAATTTCGATTGTATATGTGAATTAATGTTACAAAATTATTGATTTGTATGTACGAGAAGAGAGAGAATCTTTTTCTCTGCTACGCGTTTTAGAATTTTCAACTCGATGGCGGCGGCGCAGTCTTTTGATGTGATCATTGTACTGGATTTTACTGTCGGCGCTAGAATTTGCGAAATTTATAACAATTAGTACTTTTATAAACGTGAAATTTAAAAAGCTACGAGCATAAAATCTTGAGCATAGAGCAATAGAATTTTCACATTTACGAATCGGGAGACGTAAATGTTTAGTGATTTTAATTTAATAAAATGTAAAACGTGATTGGATTAACTAAAGTTTCAAAATAATAATCAATAGATTGTATTGGAGAATGATGTATTTGGTCATTACATCATATTACGAATTTCATTTATCGATGCTAAAATTATGAAATTTATTGCAATTAATCAGACCTTTCGTGTTGAAAAGTGATAAGGGCTAGAAGTACAGAATCTTGAAATTTCACAATTATGAATCAAGAGATACGTATTTCACGGTTTAATTTGGTAAAATGTAAAATGAGATTGTTGCGTTGACTGAAATTTTGAAACATAATTAACAGATTTTATTGGAAAATTATTAATGGTCATTGCATCGTTCTACGAGTTTTAATACAATAGGTGCCAGAATTTATGAAATTTATATGCATTAATGAGAATTTTTACGAAAGGTGAAAAATGGTTAGTAGAATAGAATTTTGAATCTTCGTAATTTTACGGCTCAAGAAACATGCATTTGACGATTTAATTTGAATGTAAAAAAGAACGATGTGTTAATTAAAATTTTTGTATAATCGGCGAACGTTGAAAAAGATGTAAGGTAAATAATGCTGTTTCTCTTTTCCTTCATCGTCAGAGTAAGATTTCATTTGCGGATTAGTTGTAAATTTCAAAATGACTGCCTTATGCTTTCCTTGCCTTCGGGCGTGTCCCGTCAAAAGATTTACTTGGGCGACGAGCGACGCGTATTAATTGCGCTTCCCGATAAACGTTATTAATGCTACTCTCTTTAGCTCGTTCTCTTTAACTTACTACTTTGGGATACGTACAGTTTTTATAAAATGACGCGTTTTCCTTCGTCAACCGTCTTACGCCAACGGCGTACTCTCTATTTTGTTATATCAATCAGAAATTGTCATAGCTGCGAGAAAGATAAAAATTTTAGGATAGGGCAGCTTTTCACAAATAAATATCTAGAATTCATTAAGCGTCAAGAGTGTTAATTGCTGATTATAATCTCCGCGAACAGAATGTTATTCGCGAATGATAATGTTGTTCAATTCAGAAACATTTAAAATGTACGCTGATTAAATTTCAAAGGAGACAAAATTGACGTAGAGAAAAAAAGTTTATTGCCGTTAATGAACACATTTAACTTATTAAGTAGTGCAACGAACTACTTCACAATTTCAGTGTTGATTTAATTGTCAGCATGATTTCTAAATTAAAAAAAAACGGCTTAATTTCTTCAAATTCTGTTTTCAGCGATAGATATCCGAGGATTTTATCTTCATCGAGATAAGGTATAAGTCAAATTAGTTGACTGTAAAAGAGTTAAAAGATAATAAAATTTTTAATAATATAAAATAAACTAAAAGAAGTTTAAAATGTTGATTTTAAGAGGTTCTACTGTATTATATTTCAACATTTTCAATGAAATTTTTCCAATAATTTTTTACTACACTATTTCGTTATAATCGTTGTAAAGGATTTATTAATTATTATTTATTTATATTACTGAATTTATTGATTCAAGATCATTGTCGCTGTACTTCATAAAAAAATATCATAAAATTCATTTGACACATTTAATATTAATTGATTATTCTATAACTATAACTTATTCTTATAAATCGTTCTAGGAATATTGGCGGATCGGACGAGAAGGGAAAATTTTTCTATCGATCTGGTAAAGCCGTAGTAGACGAGATAAAGCGACGAGATTCAAGTACCTATCGCGGCGTTATCTGTATACGGAAGGGCAGAAGGTCTCCCGGATCTGACGGTATGCCAATAATGACCTACATATCGCAGTTACATCTGGGAAAACACAAATGACAATGATATCGTACAGAGGACGATTTTTCTGACACGCCCTCGCATTTTATCACGCGTCGAGAACGACCGTCCTTCTCTAACCGATGGTGGAATCTCGTTTTATCAACGCAAGTTATGCAAAAAGGTCTACACTCCCTTTCCCACCGTCTTCCCGACGCGACGATATATATTTGTCCCGATTTATCTACGTTTATCTACGCCTCTCTTTGTCTCCATCCGTCTCGCCCTCTCCGTGCGAAGAACAGAGAATGGGACGAACACGAGCGAATACGTATCTCATCGTGTAATCGAACGAGACATTTCCGGCTGAACGGTGGAAATTGATATTACGCGAATAATCAGTACAAAGATCAAAATACTGATATGTAATGCGTTCAACAAACGCGGCTAAAAGAATATATAAAACGAGAATCGACTCCAGGCTGAAAAGCCTTGTGATCTCAATTGGCTGAAAGTACTCATTATTAAACCCGAATTGCTTTTAATATGTCACTTTTATTACATACTTTTCAGCTTTATTACGTTCATAATTACTGCACATTTCCTATCGTAATTCGATTCGCAAAAGACAAGCGATTGTTATTAATTTTCGATGATGGCCGTAATGCAGCATTCCACGAGAGTTAAAGCTTTTTACGATTTAATATTGAATTTAAACGGAAGAGAATGCGCCGCGTTACAGGCTTATTGTTCTTCGCTCGTAACATTACATTGTTCCATTTGTAGTATTTTCAATTGCCTCATATTTGAACTTTGATCACGGTTTTTGTCTGAACAAACAGCACGAAACAAATGCGCCGTCAGAGAAATTTTACGATAGAAAGGTAAACGGACGAAGCATGTGTGAGAAATGAGCGCGTGTAATTGTAAACGTACTGTACCTATTTATGATGTTACATGGACTCGTAGATGATATCCGTATAAAAATAACTCCAAATTATAGTCCACGCGCGTATAGTTTATTATTTTTAAATAAATATGATGATAATATTGCAATGCAATATTATCATAATCATAAATAAAAGTCATAATTAAGGCATGACGACGCTAGAAATTATTTTATGTTATAAATTATTTTACGCGCATCAATCTAAAGAATGGAGAATGTCATTTATATTTGTTTTGTATTTTATTATAATATATATCTTTTTTTCCGTAATTAGATATACAACTTTCTTGATATAAAATAAAAATCAGACAAACGATAAATGTAGTCTTGTTAACTGTATGACAAATTGAATAATTTAAAATCAACAATAAATCGTGTTGAATGATGATATTGATTATAGCATGCGGTTTCAATTAGTTCACATAAAATTTAATTAACATTTATACATTGAAATATGGCGAAGTTATTTTGTTGTAGCCATTAATTAATATATTTCCATTTTAAACTTTCATGTATGTGTAATATCCGATTACCGTGCAAAATCGGCAAAATCTCGGCATGGTTTTTGTCTGGAATATTTATAAGGTCCGTATATTAATGAATAATCTATTATTACGTGACATTAATCTACCAAAAATCTATACATATAAAGCAAGTAGTTTTACGAAAAATGCGAGACAACTTTATAAATAAATTAGAAACTATCATTTTTTTATTAAGTAAATATTTATTTATTATAAGTAAATGTTTACTTAATACAAAGAAATATGAATTAAGATTTCATAAATTTTTGTTAGTGTAGAAAATGTAATGTAGATAATAAATTATTTTTTCCTCTCTCTTTTTTTTGAAAAAATTTTGTTTATGCCATATGTGTGTCTTTTCTCTGCAACAATTAATTAGAACATGATATCGAATCGTAAAGTGAACAAGAATTTTATTCTATCTTCTTTAAATACACGTGTCTCTCAGCTACCTCTTAAATAATTATTATTGTACGATAACGTTGATGATGTAAACGAAATGTTGCCTTCTTTTTTAACGACGACGTAATAATATCCAAGGAAATAAACCGATTTCCATTCGTGGATGCTCGCGAGATGGTTTATCCAGGACTATTTCTCGTATCTTTACGAGGTCGTCACGACTCACAGTTAAATATTGAAGACCCCCGCCTGTCTGCGGAATTGGAACTCGTATGTGATCTCGCAAACTGTGCTGAGGTTTCATACTAAATGTCTCTGCGTGTCAATTGCTCTTGGATAGTTTTGCGAATTAGATTTAACCGCGCACGAGTCAAGGTAATCCTATCATGTCATATTGTTACGACAATCAAATCAAGAAAATTTAAGAGACTCTAATTCTTTACTTTGACATCTCTTACCTTTCGCGCGAGTGAACGCAAAATCTTATCGCGTCATATTTTTACGACAATCAAATTAAGAAAATTCAAGAGACTCTACTTTGACGTCTCTTGCGTTCGAAATGATAAGATCTTAATTTAATTTTTAATTTAATTTTGTAAACGGAGCATATTCTCGAATATTCCAGAAAATTCTTAAGATGAGGCGACATTTTACCAAAAAATGTCTAGGTACGGAATTTCGGATTTTCTCCCAAATACCTCGCAAATTGTGCGTCCTACAAGAGTGCACAAGGTTCTTTTATGCCTCTCCCGTTTGAGATCTCTTACCTGGGAAGGACGCTTTAGTAATTCGTGCTCTAGAAAGTTTTCAAGAGCGAGAACCGCTCACGTGTTCTGCCGTATATTTCGTAAGCTACGGTACGAATCACTTCTTTCGCGGAATTTAGAGGCGGCTTCCTTGTCGACATATTCGGTCATATTCTAAGAATTGGATTTAAAAAATGTAGCCAATGCTAAGCACTCATAAAATATTCACGACAAATGTGATTCTCGGGGATATACAATAAATTTATGTATAAGGCTTTAGAATATAAATTGTCTGTTATCAGTAAACGAATATTGTGTATCATTTACGATTAAGTGATATTTGCTGCAAGAATGGAAGTCATAGGAGATTTTACAAGTGGTGCCGGGACTTCACTCTACTAAATATCTCTGCGTGTCAATTGCTTCTGGATAATTTTACAAATTCTCAGAATTCAAATGCAAGTTGCACTAACGCGTGATTTAGGATAGTATTTTTTTTTCAAAGGCTGTGTTTGCGAATACTTTTTAATCACAAATCAACTTACATTTAACTCGAAAGTGCAGTGGTTCGCTGCGCGTCTCGTTTAGAGCATTCGTTGCTGCGCAGACATAGCGGCCAGCACTGCTTCTTGTCACACTTTGCAAGACGAGACTTTGATTTGACCAGATAATCCTCGCCGACGTGTTATGGGCCAGGATTTGGTTCTGCAAAAAAAGAGGTTTCAATTAAAATTAATTTATTGCATAACGAAAACGAGACTTCGACGATACTGACGCGAGTATTATATGTATTTATCAAACAGTTGACAGAGAGAAAGAGAATGAGAAGAAGAACGAGAAAAGAGCAATCCTCTGTCCTGCGAGACTTGTTCTGCCGTGAGATCGAGTTCGCGATTTCATTTCTCGTTATTTTCTAATTTCGCGATAAATTAGAGATAAGCACAACCGCGAGCGCGTCTCACTACGATGTCTTCCTGCCTGTTACGACCTGTTCGTTATCGTATCATTTTTTTTCTTCATCCCCGGAGGAATACCACTGTCGACCGAGCGCTTTTATGACCGCGAAAGACAAAGGGGAAGTATCTTGCAAGATTATGAGGAAGCGTGTATCTGCAGTATATATTATTGCACGCGCAATATAATATTGTTGCAACTCGAACGAGTTAACGAGTCATGTTTGCATAATGTGGATCATTAGAAGTTCTAACGAAACAGACTATTACTGTTTGTACATCTGTATTAACATATCTGAACGCATATGTTACTACAATTATTATATGTTAATTTATATTATGTACTTGGCTGGTCTTTTGACCTACTTGAAATTACAGCAGCGGCTATTTTTGTTAAATATTAATATTAAAGGTATAAACAAATTATAAGTGAATATTAAATAAGAATAAATGAAATAAGAGAATTTTATTTTTGACAGCTCTTAATGTACAATAATATTCATATATAAATTTATAAATGATGAATCTCGATTAAAATAAGAATAGAATTCTTTTTCTTATTTGACCAAATTTCTTATGTTTAATTCATTAAAAAATTTTAATCTAATCTATTTCATTTCGAGTTAGTTATCAAGAAACATCTCGATTTATTCCTTTAATATTTTTAAAGAAACTTAAAGATTATTTCTTAATTTATAAAAAAAAAATCTGTCCTTAAATTGTCGTCCAATGCTGTTCACAATGACGTCGTGTTAATGATACAACAAGGTTACATATTCTACGTTATCTAGCAGGAGATACGCGCGACAAATACGATTTTACGTTTTGCCAGTCGCAAGAGAAGCGTACGGTTACACGTCGCTGTAACAAATTTGCCACTTTAATTAGCTCCAAAAGGGTGAGCCCCATTATGTCTTACTTTGTCCCTGTTTTCGCAACAAAATGAGAAGCGGGACGAATGTAGTGCTAATATCGTACTCTGAAACTTGCAGCGGGAACGAACTCAGAGCGGAGTGGAACAGCCGCACGTCAGAGCCAACAAGTAGCTGGAGTCGGTGCTTATGCCGGCATCGGTGCCGTTGCCAAATGCAGGCCGAACCGCTTAATCAGGCAAGAGGCGGCCTTCGAAAGTTCCGCGACCGCCGTTTACTACCTAATTTACAGGCTAGTTGTTGGCAGAACGTTGTAGTTCGTAACGTAATTACAAAGTTCATTATTAAAAACTAATATCGAACGTACTATTGGGAGCTATTTTCTTGGAATTCAATGGTGAATGCGTCACTCTGTTATCCTCTCGCGATTCCGTAAAAAACTTTCTTCTTCCCTTGTATTAAGCGATATCTTTTTACTTTATCTCGCTGTTAGCCGATCTCCTCATCTCTTTGCTGAACATGGCAAAAGTTCGACACGCGGGACGTGGGGTGGGAAATGCAAGCGCGAGATTATAAAAGAAATATCTCGGAGTCTGCGTATGCCATAGTGCACTGTCCGTGAAAGTGGTCCTACCTATTTAATTAGACGAGAAACGACAGTCGGACGTCTTTGTCTCGCCAACAAACATTTTCTCGGCCGGTAAAAGTCCCTTAAGTTTTTCATCCCACTACCTCCTTCCCGTCGTCCTCTCACCACCATTCCGTTCTTATACCTCTTACCTCACTATACCGTTTCCTCCATTACACCGGCGGACCCGCTTCTCTCCCGTTCCGCCAGAATCCGCTCGCCGAAGATAATTCGAAATCGATTTGAAACGAGGCCATTTGAATCTTGGAGAAGTTGGCAGAGTTGGGGTATAGACTAGAATGCACGAGGGATGAAGCGAAGGGGAAGGTTCAGAGAAGAAGGTTTCCTTCTTCTACCACTTCTGTCTTCCCCTCCGGGACGCGTTTCTTTCTTCTAGACGCTGCTCGATGGGGCAGATTTATTCAATTGTTTTATAATCTCGGCAGTTCGACACGACGCCTCGCGACGATGTCCCCTGTTGAAATCCCTTCCTCCTTTTTCTTCCTCATTCATCGTATTTTTCGCTCGCGTAATTTTACGACAATAGTACGAAGATATTTAATTACTTTGTGAAACGATTAACTGATGTACCGATGAACTTATCTTATTGCATGATTAGGATATACGAGCATAAGTCGATAAGATACATAATTACAATTAGGAAGTTTATTTTCAAAATTTTCGAATTAAATCGAAATTGATGAATTTAATCAGAAATGACTCCCATTCTGTTAAAAAAAATATAGATTCGAAATGACTAAAAAAAAAAGTCAAATCAAAAAACAAAATTTTGGATATTTCAGCTTCGCAATTTCATAAAGCCTCATAAAGCGCGTTAAATAAAATATCAGAGATATTATATTAGGTATTTTAGAACACTTAGTCACTCGTATCACAGATGACGTGAATTGGTGCACGGATTAATATACACGAAGTTTTTTTTTTTTCAATTAAATTCACACAATCTTGATATATGAAATATACAATATTTTTTTTTAATAAAATATAATAAAAAGCAATAAAAAGGGAGAGAAAGCAAAAAAATGGGCGCAGTGTTTGCGGCCATTAGCAACGTAACTCAATTAAATTGCATTGTAATCTATGTAATCAGCCATCCATGTGGTCGAGTCTAGGTTAGAAGGTTTAGCACGCTTAGCATAGGTTAAGCCCCGGTTAAATCCCAAGGTTTATCTTCGATTTACTTGCGGCAAGAGACGAAGCTCGGAAAGGACTCGTTAAACGTTATATCTTGTTAAGCTCGGCGGAGGAATTTTTAAGAACGCCTTTACGTCTTCCCTTTGTATTTTCGCGTTGAAATTCGATATTCAATAATCTTACAAAATAATCCTGATCACATTATGATGAAATTCTTTGCGTTTCTACCTTTCTTGTTCAAAAGAAATTTTTTAAAAATTAGATACATATATAAAATGCTTATATTTTTTAATTACAATTCAATAGCACGTTTTGAAAAAAAAATAATGTATTACTTAGACAACACATATTATCTAGAAGATTTTTTTATGATTGTTTTTCAGATATCTCTTAAATATGTCTATTCCAAAAAATGTCTTTATAATGTCTTTATGTTTTTAGACATATATGTTATCCGAGTTATTCTTGTTTAACAGTTCTCGTAATTAAACACAATCTAAAAACTGCAGAAATCTAAATTCTAAAACAAAGATTGAAATAAAATTCTTATACATGTCGATTATTTACATGGAAAGAACAATTTTACTAATAATAACTAAAATTTTTTAGCTACATACAAATCTGAAAATAATTTTATCGAACTCAAAATAATTACATAGAAATTGCTCAAATTGGTTGCTGGAATGTCAATCTTTTTACAGTATTGCTTATCATATATGAGTTCTGCTATAATTATTTTGATAGTCCAATAGATATTTCAATAAAAGAAGATATTTCAATAAAACTGTTCTTTCCACATGAATTACATGTGCGCCTTTATGCATATTATAGTTTCTCTCAATTTTTTATTCATTGAGCTTTTCTTTTTCCTTCTTTTATTTTCTTGAAAGTAAAGGTTCCTGGTCAAAGATCATGTTCTGTGTCAGACAAGAACTGTCGAAGCTTATCAAAACCACCGTTAAAGAGACACTCCGCGATGGAGATTCGCTACATGGAGATCGATATCGGTAGCTTACACGTATGGTCCCGTTGCGTACTCCAGCCTCGGCAGAGATAGCGAAGTTTAAAGTTCCCTTTCGCGACTCGAATCCCTCAGCCTCCACCTTTTCATTCCCACGAGTTGGGATTCCCGTTCTTTCGTCGTTTCCATCCGCGTCTTTCCTCGTCGTCTCGACGAGGCGGAATGGAGAGTACGATATCGTCCTGTGTAGTCAGCTCCTGACTTTCGTTTATCTTTTCTTGCGACCAAGCCATTCTACGAAGAGCCACCATCCATCCTTTGCGCCTCATCCTACTTAGCCAATCTACTCCTCCACCTGGTGTACTTGTATTTGTCCGCGTAAGTAGATTCGCGTCAGTAATTTCGTTCAAGCTCGCGATTATTCGCGCGTATTTGCGTTCAATAGTAAAATACAGTACAGTAAAAGTATCAAAATTACAGAAAATGAATAAACCGAAAATACCATCGAAAAATTGCGGCACAGATAGATTGAATATCTCAAAGCGAAATATGTAAACGAAGTTCTTAAAATAAAACGAAAACTTGAAAGTCCGAAAGCCGAATCTCTAAAATAAAATGAAAAGTGATGAAATTCGCGGATTCTGATAAATCAAAGGTCAGCGAGCGAAGATTGAAGACGGCAAATTCTACAGATCCTTTCGTTGTAACGTAGGGAACGCATGAATGATACAGCAACTAGATTTTAGCAAAAATCGTATATTTTGTTCAATCACGCGATACATTTTGGCTCAGTGTTATTAATTTAATTTTATTACGCCACTGCGGCGAACACAGCAAGGCCCTTTGATCAGTCCCAAAACTAGAAGCGGAGAGAGCACTATGTGCTTCCAATAATTAGATTTCATAGGGTTTGCTCCGTAAATGAGGATCAACTAACTTCCCTATTGTGTCCATTCTCCGAGCGCAGACAGCTGACACCCTTCCACCTATCGACAAGCCTAATTGCATCGGCCTAAGGGAATTGCTGTCGCTAATGGCTAATGTTATCTATCTCTATGTCTTGGATACCTTCCTTTCGAAGGTCCCTTGAACGATATTACAGTAACACTAATAGATTAAAGGTCAGTTAATAATTG